GTCGCTCGCTCCCAATCTGATCGCTCCGAAATTCGCTCCTCTGCTCATCTAAAGTGCCCGTGCATTCACTCTCATCTTCCACTTGTATCTCGCTCCCGTGTCTCCAACCACCAGGTTCATCCAACTCATCCAGCCTCCCACTTCCAACCCTTCCATGCAATCTTGCCTCCAGATTGCTACCAAACCTGTGCACGAGACCTCATCCGCATGTGACACCATCAATCCCGATTTGCTCCCACTCCACTCCTGCAACCCCAAACCCACTCCTGCAACCCCAAACCCACTCTAGCGTCCGTCCGGACCGCACTTCCGCTCCCACTATTTCTCAGCTCCCGCGATCCCACGCCCGACCCGGCACTCGAAACCACTGATAAGCCCTTTTATGAAATTTGCGGCAAGAAGTATCCTGTTTCTCCGAATCCTTCTCCTCTATACTCCAGTCCAAGCTCCGAGAGCTCAAAAAGCCAATGAAGCCAGTATACCCGCTGCAGCAACATCACCAATGTCAATGGTTCTTCCAACGTTGACTGGGATTGTTCTGATGTAAGTACATATAATGATGAACTCAATACCCATTCAAGAGTTCTTACAATTCAAAAAATTCAGTGTCTACTGCTCATGAATGCAATGTCTGCAATGATGCTGAAGAGGAATAAAATCGACTTGCATCCACAGAGTTGAGACTTGCAAAAGATTGGCCAAGGATAATGAAGGATTTTCAAATTCTGAACCATTTTATTGATCGTGGTACAACAGTAGTTAAGGGGGGAATCTCATCTAAATCAAGATTTTTAGAATTAAAAGAGAAGTTAGTTATGTCTAGTTGTGAAGACTATGCTTTAGGTGATATAGGAGACGTTTCAATTACAGGTGTGCAAATGTTTGATGTGAAGTTCCTTGACAAAGCTAATCCAACGCAATGCTCCCAAGCTGTTCGACAAAATGTCACTGAAGCATCGGATCCCAAATTTATTAGGCCAATTTATAAGGGTTTACTAGGAGATGGACAACATATAGTTGTAAAACGACTTTCAAGAACTTCAACACAAGGATTTGTAGAAATGAAGAATGAGGTCGTTGTACTTCAGGAAGTTTGCAACATAAAGGTGGCAATCAATTTGATGGTTAATCATCGGATGGGGGTGTCATCTGAGTCTGAAATCAATGAGATAGCATGTCTGTTTTCTGATTTTGTAGATGATTACTTATATGTTCCAATTAATTTGGCAGGATTTTTCTATCATACTGCTATGAAGGCAAGGGAAGGCATCATCACAAAATCAAGAATACAATAGCTAATGGGAAGCAACAGGGTGGATCTGTAGAAAGAAGTGGTGTTCTTGTTAGGCAGGTAGAGGAAGAGAATTTAAATGATAATCAAATAGGGGTGTCAATTCGGGTCAACCCGCCGGGTTCAGGTCGAACCCGACCCAACCCGTATCTAAACGGGTCAACCCGAACCCGACCCGTTTTTACAAACGGGTCGGACATTTCAACCCGAACCCAATCCGGCCGGGTTGACGGGTTGACCCGACCCGACCCGCGACCCGGCAGCTTTAAAAAAATTTAGCAAACGTGCTCTCAAAATTGATCCCACCTTGAAGCGACTGGAGACGGTTGTGCAGAAACTTGATAAAGTTACAACAACTGGTGTTGATACTTTCCTTCATCTTGTAAAAAACACAAAGAAGGAGCTTCAGAAGCAGCAGCTTGAGCTGCACGGAGCATGTGAAAGTTAAAACAGATCCTTGCCTAAAAATGATCTCATTGGACGGGGCAAGGATAAGGAGCTTGTTATGGAGTGGCTGAGGAATCCATCAAATGTGCATCGGGGAACTCATTTGTATAGAAACATTTCTCTATTTTCTTAAATTAAACGGGTTTTCGGGTTGACCCGGTAACCCGCCGGGTCAACCCGACCCGACCCGTTTTATCAAACGGGTCAAATCTGTGAACCCGAACCCGACCCGTTTATCAAACGGGTCGGGTCCAACCTGGATTTTTTGGGTCGGGTCCGGGTCGGGTTGTCGTGTCGTATCAAATATTGACACCCCTATAATCAAATAGCTGATTTCATCATAAACTTGCTCTTTGCTGGAAATGAAACTACAACTAAAACAATGTCGTTTGTTGTTTACTTACTCACTCAATGCCCTCATGATTGGTTTACTATTGTTAGCTTGCTTCTAGCTTTTGCTCATCTAAAGGAGCTTGTGGACATGCATCGAAGATGTAAAATTTTCGATCTAGGAGGGTTCTTATGATTTCTATGCCTACCTCCTTACCGTTGACACGCCTCGATGGAGTCGAGCTTTTTGACACTAGGGTAGTATGATGTAGGAACATCTTTAGGAATAGCTTATCATTGTTTGTTATAAATTTGTTATTTATGGTTTCTAGAATGTTTTTATTAGTCTATAAATAGGCAAAGTATTGTAGTAGGAAACATTATTGATGAAATACTATTCTCTTTCAAGCTTTTTGAAGTTTGGTGTTTGTCTTTGTTCCTTGGATTGGGAATTCCTTCTTGGATCCTCTTATTCCAACGATCCAATGGTTAATCCCCCACATCAGTTTCCCACTTTAATACTCAAATAATTGATAGACATTTTACGGGACTCCAAGATCCTATTTACGAGCTATTGCCATGGTTCATACAAAGTAGCAGAGAAGAATGATAAGGGAAGATGATACAGGGAGGCAGTGGAACAATCTTAGGCGAGGCAATTTAAATGATTAAGCACGTCAATACCCAAATTTGTCACAGTGGAGCTGGAAAAGCAATTCAGGCTAATGTTTTTTTTAATACTTTTGATGTCTTTGAAAACATTAAACATCATGCAAATCAACCACTTCAAATTAATTAGATGTATATAAATGGCAAATGCATTAATCTAGGCACCATTACATTGTTACATATATATAACCGCAAATTCATATTAAGTTTAAACTACAGAAGGTGCCTTTTTTAGGGGTTTTTTTTTTTTTTTTTGTGAGGTTACCGAAATGACTGTAGTGCAGAGTACTATGGTGCACGAGTATATAATACACTAGCTAACATGAACTGCAATATTCCATATTTCAAAAGGACTTGGTTGGACTAATAGTTACATTCTCTCCAAGAATAGTATGTTGTAAGATAAATGAAGGGGTTTGCGTTTATAAAACTGCAATAAATATCAAGAATGTAGTCTGCTCGAGCTCTGGAATTAAATGCTTTCAATACATCCCAGTAGAAAATTTAATTAAAAAAAGACAACCTCCTGGCCACAACCCAACCAATTTGCACTTCGGAGCAGTAAAAAACTACCAAGGATACCAGTAACAATAAAAGTTGCCAATGTGCAACGGGCTTGTAAAGAGGGTATTTTTTTTTTTTTTTGTGCTTTAAAGCGTTAAGCATATGATACAGTTAATTGCTGCATGCAAATCATATGAAATATTACATAGGATTGAAAGAATAAATCAATTATAGCAATCACCATACCTAGACTAAAAAATAAATATTCAATAATTAAACTAAAAAAAAACATTAATACTTAAACTTATGCACTTATGAAGAGCACAACTAACTATGCTGAAATTAAAAGTGGAATGGCGTGAGTAGTAAAAAAAAGGAGGGGGTGTTAAATTAATAAAGGGTGCGTCAAAACACCGTGCAAGCACAAGTCATGAGGAGAAGGGAGTGCTTTTGACAAAGATCCAATCACCCTCAAAGCTTCAGAATATGATTGTTTATGGGAATCAATCACCCTCAAGGAAGATGGGAAACATGAAGAGTTGGAGGAGAAGATTGGAAAAATTGAATCTTGATCATTTTAACAATAGTGGAATTGCATTCACCACAACAGAAGATGGAGATCCTTTAAACCTTACAAAATAGCATATATGCGATATGAACCAACACATACTATAAGCCCATTATTAAACTGATCTTCTCATTTTAATTGAAAAGAGCAAAACACATGCATGTCCTGTATACTCTATAAAGCAATGATGAAGTATGTGGTTTGTCACTTCAACTGTGCTTCATAGTGTAAGCTCAGTTCTTTGTATAGTGATGTGCAATATTACCACTCTACTTCAGATTAAACTTGAAGCTTATTTCCTACTTTGTGTGCTTAACAATGTTGATAACAAGTTGTTAGTTCAAAGGTAAAAATTCAAATATATATATGAACCTCATTCCTATAGAGAGCTCTCTGAGATGTTAACCTATCATTCATAAATTATTTTAGATAACTTCCATCCATATAAGCTTAGGTCTACTATTTGTCTTCATAATCCTACGAGACTAATTTGATTGACATATCTAACAGACATAATTTGGACACTTCATTACACATGTCCATACCATCTATAAGCATATTTTTAGTCGCCATATCTTCAAAAGTTGAGTTTCAATTGAATGAATTATTTTGCAAACTTCCCAATTGCTTCTTTTTTTTCTTTCTTTCAAATCCTCACAAACTCAACATCTAAGTTTGTAAGAATGTAGAGTTTGGCTTATTTTAAAGCATATTACAAATGAACTAAAGAAACAGCTTATCACTGTATAAGGCCACAATATAAACAAATTATTTCAGCAATCAAATGCTATAAGTACAATATTAAGACATGGTTTAGACAAACAGAGAGGATTCAGTCAAGAGAAGATGGGCATCTTTTAGTAATGCTTTGCAACTACTTTGTTTCGTACAACCTGCAACAAAAAATGCTATATTGCACGTGCATCTCCTCGATGACTTCTAATCAAGAGCGATTCCTACGTGAGAGTAGTCGGACTTTATTTTGTATTTAATAGCAAATTGCAGCATTACCAAACAAGATTAAGGCCCGATAATCAGCAGGTTTACGATATGAATACAAGTCAGTGCCGGCAGTAATATGAAACAATCATATATTCCCAAAAATAAAAATATTAAATTTATGACAATCCAGTTCAGCTTTCAAAAACTTTGTATTAACTGTATTAATCAATTTAATGATTATTGTCATACCTTTGGAAGCGTTTCAAAGAAGGCGTCAGGAATCTCCATCTCTGCAAGCACCCCACTATTGATCGCCATGGCTGCCTTCAATATCTGGTTTGCACAATCTCTGCATTGCTGCAACTTCTTCCTCGTATCTTCAGACAAACCATTTGGAGGAACTCGTGGGCATGGAAGCCACCATTTCTCTTCCTGTCTCAGTGATGGCCTCCCGAAAGAAGGGTATCCCCCACTGCCTTCTTCAATAGCATCAGCAACCATTATCCCTCTATCAACATACCAGAATTCAGTATTACGGAATCCATCCAGCATTCCTAGTAGCATGGAATCTAGTTTTTTAAGCGCAGGAAGGTTCATGTAGAGATCAGGTCTTGGCCGTGAGGCCATCACTTCAAATGTCCCGCCACCTGGAAACTCTTGCAGAGATGGGATGAGCTCCACAATGGAATCACTCACGCATAGCAACCATTCCATCTCCCTCCTCCACACTGTTTTCTTCTGCAGAGCCAGAGGCTCCAGCCTCCACAGCTCCCCAAAAACAGTAGCTGAACAAGTTTCAACGCGATTAAAACCCATATACAAAAGCTTAAAAACATGCGCTTAAAAAGTTCATCTCACCAGATAAATTTGTAATGGCGTTCGAGATCGCCAGCGCAGTGCAAACTCCTTTCCCTCCGCCAGACATGTCCTCTCCCAGTAAAAGCTTAGCAAACCTCTCCTTCATCATCTCAACCTCTGCAAAATTAGCAACATGTTGAGCAAATACAGAAGGCGGATACCAAACATAGCGATCACATTCCCCTTCACGGGATCAGGAAGACGAACCAGAAAAGTCCACTTCACGCTTCTCCAACTTGCCCTCCCAGAACATAACATCCGCTTCAGGCATCGGCAACAATGCACGCGCGGCGTCGGCGGCCGCAAGGCAGGATTTCCCAAGAACCAGCGGCGAAGATGCAAATGAACTTGAAGCACCGGCAGTGAAGCGGCGGCCAGAAAACCCACTGGAGCTCTCTGACTCGCTGACATCCGCGCTGGGACTGTAGCTCCCGCATCGCTCCTCGCTCTGCTGATCGGAGACCTCCTCCGATGAATTGCTCCCCATCCCACACCTCTAGTAGCCAGTAAAACCCTACCTCTACTCCTCACAAAGCAGATCGCTCACCTCCTCCACTCCACAAGTCCAGATCTCCCCCACTCCTCCGCCATCTCACATCCCCCAATGCAACCTCTGCCTCGGCAGACAGCAAAGCCAGAGAAACTCCTACTCCTCACTCTCATTCTCTCTGGCTCGCTATCTTTCTTCTCCGCTTTCTCTCACTTCGAGCTCACTCTATGCCAATCTGGTTCACTTTTTGCCGCGATGCCGCAAAAGCAAAAGTGAGGCCGCTTGCCGGTTGCGGAATGCTTATGGCCGCTTCTTTATCCGCGATTTTTCTATAATAATAGTATTAATTTGCGCTCGCTTTTTAGTTCTCAATTCGTTGAAGTCCAGAATTTCTACCGCAATAGATTCATAGGATGTCACGTAACCTGTTCAGAACAAGCAGAGCTGGCCACGATGGTAGAACCATAAGCAGGGCAGGCAAAGCTGGTACGAATATTACCCATATTAATATTTCGAAATTTTTACATAAATAACCCTTTAAATTATTATAAATACATATCCCATCTTTAAACTTTTATATTTACTGATATACTGCATCAAAAATCCGTGTAAGCTTTGAGTCTTCACTTTAGTTGACCTAAAAGGAATTTTTATTAGATCCAGTGTCCTGACGTAGCTCTACGTTTGGATGCCAGTAAAATGGTGTCACATGCTCTTACTCTTTACCGCGCGGCCCGACGACCGGACCCGGGATTGCTATGTATTGACTGATTTGTGCAGACTGGGGTATTGCTAGGTATTGCTCGATATTGCTCGGCAATAACGAGAAATATCATTATGTGAAGTCAAATACCTAGCAATACCCCGATTTTGCTAGGTATTGCTCGGTATTGATCTTCACAGAGCGGTATTTCTCGTTATTTTCAAGCAATACCTATCAATACACGAACATAGCAATCCCGGGTTTCGTTCCGAGTCGGGTCATCGGGCCGCGAGGTAAAAAGTAAGAGCACGTGGCGACATGTTTATAAATACATCCAATCTTTAAACTTTTATATTTACTGATATACTGCTTAAAACCCCCTTTTATTACCGAGTTTAAAAGAGGGATTTTATGTGGTACATCAGTAAATACAAAAATTTTGATGTTAAATATGTATTTATAATAGCTTGAAGGGTTATGTATGTAAAAATTCATAATTTTTTTTTATAAATCTAATATTTTTGTATTTTTATAAACTCTATTTATCTATTTTAATGAATTTATTATATGACATATTTTAAAAATATAAAATTGTAAGCTACCTAACATCATTCAGGAAAAAAAATAGCAAAAAATATTTTGTTTCAAAATGTCATCATGAGGTAAATATTACAATATATTCATCAAATGAAGAAATCAAAATCTCTCGAACTCTCTAAACTAAACTGCTCACTCTTTTCTAAGTTGGTCGAAACCTAAACCCTATCATCCATCGATGCTCGAAGAATCATGCATGAATGCTTCATTTTACTAGTCATACTGACTCGCACTTCAAATATTTTAATGTTATAAAATGGATGTCCGCCTTTGTCAAAATAGTGAAAATAATATCATAATCCATTGGCTTTAATAAAACAACAAAGTAATTTCAAGCTCTTATTATGTGGGGCTTTCCTACGAGAAATTATTCTATGCTGAGATTGGACACAGAACGCCGTCCAGAAACCAACCATCAAAATACGCCACACGTCAGCAGTAGGGGTGTCAATTTTTGACACGACCCGAACCCGGATTGGTCAACCCGAACCCGAAACGGGTCGGGTTGACCCAGCAACCCAAAATTGACCCGAAAGTGACACGAAAATTCATTTTTGACCCGAAAATCCGAAATTGACTCATTTTGACCCGAAAACCGGAGATTGACCCGTTTTGACCCGAAAACCCGAGATTGACCCGATTTTTATCCGAAAACTAGCAATTTTGGGTCAAACTCGGGTCATTCGTGTCGTGTCGGGTTCGAGTCCAGAAACATGGACCGTTTTTAAAAACGGTTCGGGTTCGGGTTGACCCGAATAGTGCCGGGTCAGTTCCGGGTTCGACCCGAACCCCACCCATTGACCCGAATTGACACCCCTAGTCAGCAGTACCGAACAAGTGGTGATGTAACGCATTTTGATTGGTTTTCAGATGACGTTCGACATCCGCAATAATAATGAATCCTTCCCTAGTGCCCTTAAATGTTATCTTCCACAATAACACCATGGTTCTTGGTGGTTGTGACTAACTCCTTATTGATATTTGTTGTCTTGAGATCTTAATTGTGTTGCTTTTAATGGTTTCTTCAATATTGCTTGGTTCCAGCTATATGGATTAATTCTCCGGTCCTATTGTTGGTACGAAGTGCTTGGTTTTTATTATTCTTCATTAATATTATCGTGCCTTGCTCGTTTTCAGTTAGTAGCGATTTCTGTTTCTTGGCCTCGGTACTTGTTTTAATCTTTATTTGTTAGTTCTTTAGCAGTTATAATGGTAGCAATATTTTGACTCTTTTGAATTACAAATGATGCGATTTTGTTTCAATATGTGGAACTATTTGTTATTACTTTCTCTATATTCATTAATTTGTGGATCATTATGGTATTAATCACAATATAAAATGCATTTATAATTTCAGCGTGCATTTTTTATTATTTCTCATACTTATAGTTTTTTTCTTATTAGCTGGCATTTTTTTAATATATATATATATATATATATATAATCATTTTAATGATCTCATTTTTGGTGCACCTAATTTAAATTAAATATTTCTTAGTTTTAACTATTTTTTAAAAGTTAGAACTATTTGATGAAGTTCTTAATTTTGTTAATAAATTTAAATTAACTAAATTATTCAAAAAATATTATAGACAAAATAGTAGACATTTTTTAGATATTGTTTTGGAAATATAGGGAAACATTAATATTACTGTTTATACCAATTATATTTAACAATTTACTGTTTATTTTAGTAAACATTTATTTAAAAATTTAATATAGGGAAACATTAGTATTTTAAATTTTATCAAAAATGAGTATCTCAATAAAATGAATTTAACGATTGTCTTGATGAAAAGAATTTAGCATTCCCATTATTTTGTAAATATATGTTTTCAAAATGAGTGTGTGGCCACCATTCTCTTATATTGTTATACGATGGAGGGTTATCTTTAGATGAGAATTTTTCACCTACATATAATAGTGATAATTGTCACCTCTTACAAGTTCCATTTAAGTCCATTTTGAAACAGTTAAATGATAGGGTTCTTAGAGCGCCCAAGTACGAATCATCAAAATTTACAACAGTCATTGTGGGTCATTTTCTAGTGGGGAACTAATTAATCGCCTCAAAGGTTAAGGATGATGAAACTTGTGAATTTACATTGTCTTGATTGTTGTTGAAGTTCTAATTCTGTATGTAGAGGTTGAACATATTTCAGTAGATAGTAATTTTGACGAAGATCTTCCAGCTCAAATATCTGATTTAATCATATTGAACCATAGAGATTAGATGCAAGATGCCGCCGAAAGGCACTTGGCAATGTCAAATGTACACATTGGGTATGTTAGTAGTCAAAGAAATTGTTAATTATGTTATACTAATTAATTTGCTATTGTTTGTTATCTAGAATTATATAAGTACAATATAGATCAACACAAAACTCAGACAATATGAATTTACTTGGTCCTTCAACACATTCCCATCCTACTTTTATTTTTGAAGTCAACAATGTTAGATCATCATCTCCTATAATCGATGAAGGGTACAAGACAATGAGTAGTGGTTCAAGTGATGGTGTAGATGAAGAATTTGATGATATAGTTCATGATCCAATTGTTAGCAATAATATTACTCATCATAATATCAAAGAGATTATCCATAATTATTGTGTAACAACTAGAAATACAAAGGAGGGCATCATAGCTAATAATGAATATGCTAAGATAATAGTACTCTTTTTAGCTTAACGATTGATGAATTTGACATTCCAAATGAATTGGTAGAACATATGTGCATTTGTAAAAATCAGAATTGCAATTTGTCTTACAAGGTTGCTTTATAAGAAATAATATTTAATTTTTGGTGATTGCTTCAAACAGACAGAAATTCACATTGCATCTATACAACATGATAATTTGACGGCTAAGTGTCATTGGCATTTAAATGCTAGTCTAAGCAGACATTTGGGTGAGGGTATGGAAAATAGCTACCATCAAAGGGGCAATATACATGCACGAATCATGTTCTTCAAGCAGATAATAGACAATGCAACTCATAATTCATTAGCTTATTCATTATTCCTATCATAAGGAAACAAATGTATGTGAAATCTAGAGAGATAATTAATGTTGACGCAAACTTGCTTTGATGAAAATTTCACCACTCTCTCTCTATCCCAAATGTCCATACAAAATTTCTTTAAAAAAAAAAATCTTCATAAATTTTAGTTTGATGAATACATTCAAAAGCAATTTCTCAAGAATCTTTTAGTGGCCAAGTAATTTCATCTCTAACCAAAAAATGCTAAAAATAAATAAAATCTGCCCTACACAAATAAAATCCTGAAAATTTCCCTAATTTTTTCCTGTCCTTTTGCTCAGTAACGTCGAAACCAAAAATGCCTAACAAGTAACAAACACTTCTTCAGCAACAGCAATACCAACCCGCCCAATTTTGCTCGCCAAACAGATTCAAATCTAGCCTCACAAATCCATACTCAAAAGAACCCATCTAATCTCCCACAAAATCCGATAATCCCCTCGCCGGAAAACCCCCTCCACCGCATCCCATGGCCACCACCGACCTCCTCTCCGCACTCGACCAACTCGATCTATGCAAGCAAGAAGAAAGAGAAGACATATTCGCCGACGTATCAACCATCGCATTCGAACTCTCCCTCCTCATCACCTTCTCCCATATGCTCCACTTCTTCCTCAAACGCCTCGGCCAACCGAGCGTCGTCTCACAATTGCTCGCCGGCATCATGATCGGCAAATCCTTCCTCGGCCACCTTCCCTTCGCCACCGAATACCTCAATATCTCCAACCAGGACAACCTCACCAGCATCGCCACCATGTCCCGCATGCTCTTCATGTTCCTCGTCGGCCTCGAACTCGACCCCCCTTATCTCCTCCGCAACATCCGCCGCGCCATCGCCATCTCCTACTCCGGCGCCGCCTTCTGCACCGCCATCTCACTCGCCGCCACCCCTCTTGTCTACAACCTCACCAACGCCACCGGAAGCAAATCCCTCTTCGCTTTATCCCTCGCTCTCGTCCTCTCCAGCACCGCTTCCCCCGTCGTCATCCGCGTCGCCACCGAGCTAAAGCTCACCATGACTGAATCAGGCCGCCTCCTCATCGCCTCGTCGCTCATCAACGACATGACCTGTTTACTCTTCGTAGCCGTCATAAGCATCTTCTCCCCAACTGGAATCGGCGGGGATGAGACTTCAACAGGGTCGAAACTCTTCAACGGAGCAGTGGCATTAACCCTAATTGGCGGATCGTTAGGGTTAGTGAGGCCGGGAGTGAAATGGCTCAACAGAAGGAATAAGGACAGGGGAGGCATTAGAGGAATTGAGCTATTGGGGGTACTGATGTTTGTAATGGTGATTTCTTGTGTGACGGAGCTGATGGGTTATAACAGTACCATGGCGAGTTTTTTACTGGGATTAATGTTTCCGAGGACGGGGCCGACGGCGAGGACGGTGATGGGGAGTCTGAGTTATTTTGTGCATAATTTTGTGGTGCCGGTTTATTTTGGGTACGCGGGGGTTCAGACCGATTTGACGATGGTGAGGGAGAGGGGAGTGGCGATCGCGGTGGTGGTGCTGATAGCGGTGGGGACGGCGGGGAAGATTGGGGGGACGATGATCGGGGGGAGGTTGGTTGGTATGACGGTGAGGGAAGGGCTCGTTTTGGGGCTGCTGCTTAACGTTAAGGGGCACGTTGATATGATTCTTATATCGATTGCCAGGAAGTATGAGGTATGTAATATTTTGTTTCAAGAAATAATTGCATCAAAAATATGTGAAACAAATTAGTATTTATGTAAATCTCCCAAAAAAATTATGAGGATTTACAAATATATCCTAAAATTTTTATGAATTTATATAATAATTTATATAAATTTCATATTAAAATGATATATAACTCTATAAGTGAATATAAAGAATTAAATGTTAAATATATAAGAATTTTATGGTATATATGTAAATCCCCTAAAAAGTTAGCAAAATTTAGAAAAAAATACATGCATATTAGATAATTCATGTATTCAACTATTTATATAACTAATATTTAAGCTTTAATATTTGTTTACATAATATTTTAATATATAAATCATGCAAATCCAACTTTAATATTTATTTTTATATAAAGTTTTAATAGATAAACCGTGCATATAAAATGTGTATTTTATATTAAAATTAGTTGATATTAGTGTTATTTTTAATGTATTTAAAGATTTTTAATAAGTAACTATTAATGCCTAGAAATATGTAAATATATAAAAATTATGTGATATGTATGCAAATTATCCTAAAATTTATGATGTGATTATTCAATAATTTAGAAAAATATCATGCTAAAAAATTTGATTAGGATGTCATGAAATAATTATTTATTAGAAAAATTATATATAACATAGAGGATTAGTATATTTATTAAATTAGCATTCAATTATCATACTTTGTGAAACTACTGTCCAAATCTTGAAGAACATGATAAAAATCAGTTTCTTAAAATAAAAAAAGCACATTTTATTTTCTTTAAATTGTATATATAAGAAATTTCTCAAATAGCATTGCTTTAAAATAAAAAAATAAAAAAACCAATTATCCATAATTTTATCTTCTCTGCAGATTTGGGGTCAAACAACATATATGGTCATCCTAATCACCGTCCTCCTCAACAACATCATGGCCGGCCCCGCCGCCGCCTTCCTCATAAACCAGGAACGCAAAACCCTAAAATACAGATCCATGGGCCTCGAATGGCTCAACCTCGACAAAGAACTCCGCGTTCTCGCCTGCCTCCACTCGCCGCAGGACGCCCCCACTATCCTCAACCTCCTCGAAATATCTGCGGGCTCCACCGCCCATGTTCCCTCCTCCCGCTCCCCTCTCGCCGCCTATCTCCTCCACCTCCTCCAACTAACTCCTCGCCTCACCTCCACCACCCTCTACCACCAACGCATCGACCACCACTTTCAAAAAGACCTCCTCCCCGACCAAACCCGCCAAATCGATTTTGCCGCTGACGCCTTCGTCGACCAAACCTCCATCCCTCTCCGCCAAATCAACGCTATTTCCTCTTACGACACCATGCATCTCGACATCTGCCGCGCCGCGCAGGACATCTGGGCGTCGCTGATCATTCTCCCTTTTCACCGCCGGTTAAGGCTCGACGGGAGGCTAGGGTTTGGAAAAGAAGGGATTCGGCTGGTCAATCGGCGCACGCTTCGCCACGCGCCGTGCACAGTGGGGGTTCTCGTGGACCGCGGGATGAGCGGACGGTTTGTGGAGGTCGGAGCAGGGGTTTTGCATAAAGTGGCGGTGGTTTTCATCGGCGGAGCCGATGATCGGGAGGCGATGGCTTACGGAGGGAGGCTTGCGATGCATCCGTGTGTTAGCGTGACAATTTATCGATTGGTGGGCGAGAGGGATGATGAGGATGAGGATTTCGTTAGGGATTTTGTGAGGAGATTTGTGGCGACGGGGATGGTGTGGTTTGTGGAGAAGGAGGTGAAGGATGGGATGGAGACGGTGGAGGTTTTGATGGGGATGGAAGGGAAGTATAGTTTGTATGTGGTGGGGAAGGGGAGGAGGTGGGGAGAAGGAAGGAGGATTACGGAGGGGATGGGAGAGTGGGAGGGGGAAGGGGAGTTGGGGGAGATCGGAGATTTGTTGGCTTCGTCGGAGTTTATGTCGTCGGGATCGGTGTTGGTGATGAAGCAGCATCAGGTGGTTCAGGGTAGGAGAGATTTGGGGGTGGAGGAGGAGGAGCTAGCGGAAGCTAATTGACAGTTTTGTCGTTTAATTTCTTTTCCCTTTGGGTGCTAATTATTATCTAGAGACCAATCAGAACGAGTCACATCATTTTCATGCGGCTTGGTATCGTGTTTGGTACTAATGATATGACACATTCTGGTTGGTCTCCAGATGGTGAATTATGTTCGACGTCTGCACAGAATAAGAGTGGAGGAGAAATTATTCAGACGCATAACTGGAAGAATCGTACGATCATGTGAGTATATATTGCGTATAAAATTAAGATTTTAGGTATTTATACTGTGTACACTGACATAATCGGACAGTTCTTCCGGTTCTACGTCTGCATGAAATAATTTCTCTTGGGGGAGTAGGATTGATTCTGAAACTGTAGATTATATTGCTAATTTAGAATTAGATGTGTAAAGTGAGAATACCACTATTTGTTTATTTACATATTATGTGAGACTGCGAAATTTTATATTAGAATTTTTTTTATATAAATTATATTGTGATGGATAAAAAAAATATTGAAAGTTCTTGAATTAGTGGAATATGAACTTATAATATATAATTAAAAATTTAAATCATATAATTTAATAGATATAGAGTTAGTTTTATCAAATGAGAGTATAATATTATGTATTTATACAACATGTGAGATAAAAAATATAATGCATAAATCATATTCCCATAAGGCCATAAATTTGCAAGTCATTGAATTTGCTTTGAAATTAATATGATAACATTTATATCACTTATTAAAGTGATTCAATGTCATATAAATGTTAGAACAGTTTATAGTAGAAATTTATTAGTAAATATATCATAATTATTATGAATATATTTATTTATTGGATTTTTCTTTATTTGTCCTATTTCTTTATTTTTCTTTTTTATTA